CGAGGATGAGGCAGAGGATTTTTTTGGAAGCTAATTCAGAGGATGGGGTAGAGGGCTGCTCATGTCTTATTGAAGGCTAAGGGGAGGATCAGACTCTTCTTTTGAAGATTGAGAAGCTCAGTCCTCACTTCTTGAAAGCTATCTCTCTTCTATCCCTTGAGGAGGAAGAGGGGACGACAAGCAGCTCCTCTCTCTTCTTGTCGACTGAGAGGCAGCCGGAGTTCTTTTTTTCTCGTGACGTTGGAAGGGTTCTCTGCTCCGCGGTAGAGGATGTGCCAAGGGATTTCCTTACCCTTTTGGGGAAAAGAAGCTCATTTCTTGCGGATGACGAAGCAGCGAGCTCCCTTCATTTATCGTCAGAGGAGATGATGGGAGGAAGCTCTCAGTGATTTCTTGTGGAGGATGCGGTAGACAATCTTTCTTTTTGGAAGCTAGGGGAGCTCTGTCCTTTCTTGCTAGGAGCGAGGTCTCTTCAATCTCCTTAAGACGAAGAGGCGACATACCAAGAGGTAAGAAGGATGCTCTCTTTTGTTGCCACGAATATCCTGGGGACTCTCTTCTTGTTTTGGAGCATGAGGTCTTTTCCTTTTAAATGCTGAGGGATGACCAGATGTCTCTACGTGAAAATTGGGGGAGCTCCACCCTTTCTTCTTGAGTGTCCTCCCCTTTTCAAGAAAGAAAGGAGGTCTCTTCTTGCCGAGGGGTAAACGGAGCCCTCTTCTTTCTCGTGAAGTTGGAGCGGCCTGTTTGCTTTGTTGAGAGTGCGCTTTCTTTTGTCCCATTAGTTTGGAGGAAGCTCTCAGTCTCTTCTTGTCGAGGATGAGGCAAAGGATTTTTTTGGAAGCTAATTCAGAGGATGGGGTAGAGGGCTGCTCATGTCTTATTGAAGGCTAAGGGGAGGATCAGACTCTTCTTTTGAAGATTGAGACAGCTCAGTCCTCACGTCTTGAAAGCTATCTCTCTTCTATCCCTTGAGGAGGAAGAGGGGACGACAAGGAGCTCCTCTCTCTTCTTGTCGACTGAGAGGCAGCCGGAGTTCTTTTTTTCTCGTGACGTTGGAAGGGTTCTCTGCTCCTTTGAGATGCTGCGGTAGAGGATGTGCCAAGGGATCTCTTCCTTACCCTTTTGGGGAAAAGAAGCTCATTTCTTGCGGATGACGAAGCAGCGAGCTCCCTTCATTTATCGTCAGAGGAGATGGAGACTTACCAAGAGGTAGAGGAGCTCGCTGCTAGAAATCAGCTGAATGACTTGGAGAGACTTTCTCCGTGTTTTCGTTGAGGGTTGGGGGAATCTCCACCCTTTCTTGAGCCGTCTGTCTACATTCCAAGGAGTCGTGGACATTCTGATTGGTTAAACATTACATTACATTCACACGAACTTTGGGCGCAAGTGGCCGCCGCTTGTATGTCGCAGTGTAATACGCAGCTAGGCACCACGAGAGCGCAGACATTTTCAACGATCAATTATGCACGCATGGAGTCTGTGCCTACGTCACCCGTGTCATGGCGTGGTCTGTGGTGATGAGAATAAGCACTACTTGAATGCAAAAACACAGCCATCCAGCTGCCAAATAGACCCTATTTAAGCCGGCCACGGGGAGGGGGGGTGTGGCAGCCCTGCATCATATATAGGATCCCCTATTTTGGAAACTCCCATACAAGGCTCCCAGCCAGGTGTTAGGAGGTTTGGCGGAAGCAGTGTCCTTTCTGGATCTTCGTGGCTTATTCCGTCCCCGAAATCGGAAGGAAAGCCCCGCCCACCTGTCTAGCACAAGTCCATTTATGATCTTTTGTTGTGGGGCTTCTTGAAGTTTGAGGCCTTATGCTCAGGATCCTATACTAAACAGGGTCCACAGCTACCAAGGAGATCTACAAAGAAGAATGCCGGCGTGTCAGAGAACCGGGGGAGCCCCAGAGCCCCAAGTGGGAGTTTCCGAGAATTAGGGGTACCTTATTTGGGGGGTCCTTATTATAAAGGATCCTACTACTTAGGGTACTATATTAGGGTCCCCTATTTTCGGAAACTCCCAAGTATGTCTTGGACTATCTTCTCCCGGCCTGCGGGGGAACTGCCGTTGATCTATCCGCAGATTCGACAAGCTGCTATTGGGAAGAGGCACTCCGGCACTCCGAAGATCACGGGCTTGGTTTCGATGTTACAAGAGCGAGGGATGTAGTCCATGACCTTAGACCTTGGCAACGTAGGTTCGCGATGAAGTACGGTACACTGGTGGTGAACTGCCCTGGCGCCGAGCACCGGCTTTGGCAGCTGTTTGCACGGCAGTGCACTTGGAGCGCCGTGGCATGTAAGTTAGGGACGACTGCAAAGGTGGGTACAGAGAGCTATCTGCAGGCAGCAAAGCCTGAGCTGGCGTGTTTCGTTCCTTCAGTTGCCTTGTTCGAGCAAGTCGGAAAGGCACCAGGTTTCTGCAACTTCCAGGCTGGCTGACTGGGATGAGAAGGTGAAGGTAGCTCTTTGGTCGTCTGCACAGTGTGAAACA